AAAAAAAAAAAAAATGAAGGAACACACAAATATACATTACATTAGAAGGCAATATATAAAAATAGTTCTGTACGCTCATCTCACACAAACTTTCGGTACTAACTCATAATAAAAAAAATATCTTTCTTAAGAATTTGTTGCTACGGAACACAATAATGATGTTAGAAACAATTTATTGCATTTTGAAAAGAGCATAAAAAACTAACTTAATCACACTATCCTGCCTTAATCGTGCTACAATATCGTTGATTACCGCTTGCGGAACTGACCTTCCTGCCAAGTGCATAGCATTATTACGAATGATAAACGCAGCCACACTACCTAACAATGTACCAATCAAAATTGAACCGATGGAATCAAAAACACTGTTCTCGACTAAGCAACTCAATGATATCGAAACTGCAGCAATACAAATTCCAAGGATTGAAGCAGAATCTTCAAGACATACAACACTTAAAGTTGGATCACCACTTGTCCTTACTGAAAGTAAATTTCTGTTCTTTATGGAAGTACATTCTTCAGGCAGTAAAATAACTTGGAAGAGTTCCATACAATCAATTAGATTTAAAGTAAATAATAGCAGTGAAGAGTTAACTCATGAAAGTGAAAATGCAACAGCTATTAGAATCAACTCATAAAGCTAAAGCTGAACACTGTGCTTTAAAATTATATTTCAAAGAAAATATTTCCAGTCATATCAGTATAAAAAAAGATTACAAAATGGACATAATTTAAAAGATTGCCGTAGTCAAAGAGTGACATCCGGGCTTGTTTTGCTTTTCGTCGTACTTTTCTCCAAGCATATGATGCTGATGACCCTTGTAAAAGGAAAGACATTGCCAAAGTGATTACGGCCTGAAATCTATAATCAATACTTGTTAAAAATTCAGAGCATGTAATAGGAAAGAATATACTAATAAATGAATTATTCTTGGCAATTTTAGGAGATCAAACACACTGTAAAGATCAGCTCTAGAGAAATTTTACAAAATCGTGAGAGCCAGAATTTCATGCACAGAAATAAAGTAAATAGAGTATTACAGATTTCAATAAGTTCACTATCTATTTATTAAGCACCTACATATTATGAAGATATAATAATTAGCACATGATCTTTGATAACTAAATATTTAAAAACTAGCCCATGTTGGAGATTCAATTGCGTGAGGATGAAGTAGACCAGTGACACCATGGTACAGAGAAATTCCACCTCCGAAACCAAAAAGCCAACAACCACTTATTAAAGAAGCAATATATCGCGCATTGCCATAACCATATGGATAAGCTGGTGTTGGATTTAGCTTTGACCACCGTATGCCATACATCAGTACAATCTGATTCGTTAAATCAAGGGAACTATGCAATGCTTCCGCAGCTAAACTTTTTGATCCTAAACAGCAAGTTATTTTAGACAATAAAACTCATAATAAAATAAAACGTGCTTGCCACAAAAATAACCAATCAATTAATCGTTCAATAATTAAATTTTGCTTACTCTTTCAGTTGGAACTAAAATAAACCAGATAATTCAAATCTCTAACTCCTACGTACACAACTGTAAAAAAAGGTAACAGCTGAAAGAAACCAGTGATAGATGAAACAAACCGTACTTTTTATTTTTTAGCACAATTTTTGAAATAAAAAAAGCAATAGCTGAAACAAACCAGTAACAAGTGCACCATATAATTTGAAACAAACATCAAGAAAATTTGTAGTCAGAGCAATTGTTACAGCATTCTTGGCATCCTGAAACCTAGAAAAATTAATGTTTCAATGTAAATATTCAACATTTAAAAAAAGATTGGGGAGCAAGATAAAATCGTTGGCTTAATTTTTGTTATTTAAAAAAAATAATTAACATCGTTTTTTATAATTTGTTTTAGTATGATTCAAATGTAAACCACATCCATGTCAGTTGGCTCATTTCACCTGTTAAAAATCTGACACTGAAAAAATTTTGATCCGAAACTAATCACTTCACTGAGAAAACTTGATTGCTCTTTTTTTTCTTTTCGGTCATCATATAATTGATTTTGGTACAAATATTTCTGATATAACTTCATTCGCTGCTTCAAACTACGTTCACTGCCATGTATCTAAAAAAATCATGCACTGAGTACGCAAAAAAAAAATAGATATATTTATTTAACACAACATTACCTGTAATGCCTTGTGATAAACATCTTTTACGTTATACATAGCTTTCTTTGGAAAATTTTCTTTTCTTGGTAAACTCTGAAGATGTTCACGAGTTAAGCCAAATTCCAACATAGCATGAGTCTGAAGATTATCAATATTACAAAAACATAACTTCATGTTTATACTACATTTTCGATCCAAAATATAACATTACTGTTTTTTTAAAAGCTAGGAATATTTGAACATTTAAAAACACAAACTTGAAGCAATTCAGTATTATTTATCAAATAACCTCTAAAAAATTAATTTAAGTTAGTTTTAGCGTTTCCTCTAAAAATTTGGGAAAGAAACCTCTTCAATCATTTCGTTCATAGCAACATTTTCCCTTCGAGATGCCTGAGCAGCACGAAATAACTTATCTTTCAGTTCACTGAGCCTCCCATTCGACGCGCATGAATGGTAGAGCGCAACCAGAGGCTTCTCGAACGCTTGAATCAGCAATACTTACGTAAGAGGTAGATATCTACTAATGAAACAAATTTCAAAATAAATGCAAACAAAATGCAAAATATGAATTTGATAAGTAGATAATTCCTAAATATTTATGAATGCTTAAAATACTCACCAAATATAGCACGGAGCATTATTTAACAATCAATATTCGCTGATGAATCAAGAAAATACTGGCGAAAGAAGACACGGTCTCCACAAATTAATAAAACATAAGCTTTAATAGTATCCGTAGCAAAATCCGGATCTTACACAAAATATCTAATCTTCGACATCTTAAATAGAATAAACGCAAGAATTGGACACTAAAACGAGCACAATATTCTACAGAAACTAACAAATCATACTGCGAAAATTTAGTAAAACATGCATTCTGTGCAGCACAATGACAAATAAGAATGAAAATAACTAATGGAATAAATGCTTAATGGAGAGTTAAGACATGAAAAATTTGTGTTTAAGGTAGTGAATTGGGGTAACTGCTTCACGAGTATTGCTTTGGAAAAAATACACCCCAAAGATATTTGACAGATGCAAATGCCTACGCGGAAACTGTCTTCAAATAGTGTCAAGAAGAACATTCAGATCAAAGTCATTAGCTAATACTTCTCATACAGGAAATAATTCATGCATATTGATGTACTTCTTGCAAAAACATTTCTAATTCTCAAACTCTGTGCTGCAATCTTTTCGAGAAAATTCTGGAAAAAATTAAGAAAATCACAGACTGCAAAAGTATGATGAAATTTTTTGAAAAAGTCAGCAATAAATCACTTACGCAAGAATACTTTGCGTGCTAGTCAACTTAATTATTAATACGAATTTCATAGTCAAAAATCAGACATTTCTTTGCAATATTTCAAGTTGTCTTTTCAAAAGTACTTCATGAAATTAAAGGCTTACGAAAAAATGACTCTATGAAATACTTTGAAAAAATATAGTCAAATACCGCAGATAAAGTTCTGACTACTCTGTAATCAATAGCAAACAGCTTTATCTCACGAAAACTAAAACTTGAGGAAACATCTCCAAAGTGTAGAAGTGTATTGAGGTGTCGCGGGAAAAGTGAGGACTCAAGTGTGAGAAGTATGGAATTTAACACTTTACAAAGCGGCCTTTGTTATTTCCCACATCCTTCATTTTTGTTTCGAAAAGTTTTGGTCAATTTCGTTGACCTTTTAGTCCGTTCCGTTGACCTTGTAATTCATTTTGTTAATCTTTTCAAGTATTTAAATGCAATTACTTGCATGTATTCACCTATAAATAACTATTTCATTCGTACCAATTATCCTTTCAAGAATGACTCGGCTTTTTCATGAAAATGATTAGTCTAATTGTGTATCACACGCGTAGATTGGATTAATTATTTTAGGCTCAGTTATTATATCAACTATTGAATATTTTTAATCACTTCTCAAGACAATGAAATGAAATTAATTTGTAGTAAAAATTATAAAAGTTATAATTTTTGCAACATGGACGTGATCCCATGTGGTCTAGTGGTTAGGATTCGTGGCTTTCACCCACGCGGCCCGGGTTCGATTCCCGGCATGGGAACTCTCTATTTTTGAGATTTTGATGCATTTCAATGCTTACAAAATACGAGTTTAATCTTCACACTGTGTAAATTCGTAATATATGAAACTTTATCAAAAGTAGTCAAGACTGAAGAGAAGTTTCTAACTTTTATAAGTTGCTGTCACTAGTTTTGTTTTCATTCTGAAATTGACGTTCAGTAAATTTAGAAACTAATAAAAGTTTCAATAGCTAAAATGTAAATAACTGCTATTAAAAGATATTGCTTGAAAACGAAAGTGATATACACGCGCGGTACGCGAAATAAAATTTATTTGCGAATTGCTGTATGTGTTTTTGTTTCAACCTTTCTTCAGTCATTTAAAAGAGTCCTTTGACAGATTTGAAAAAATGGCCAATATTATGGGCAGAATCAATTACTGTTTTTGTCTTTATTGCTCAAATTGCTTTTCAGAAAAAAGTTGAAGTAAATGATGAATCAGTTCTTTGGTACAAAAATGTTAAACTTTCTTAGTTTGCCAATTTTGTTCAAACTTTCAGATTGTTACGCTCATAAAAATCGTGACAAATTCATAGCGTTCAATAGTCATATAAGTATATATACAACACATATTACTGATATTGTGATCGAGATGAACTTTAAAACCGCTTTTGTTGTTCGAGTCAAAGAATCATGCTTGCAGCAGTTATTGACGAAAATGAAAAAGTAATGACTAGCTAGCTTATCCATACCAATTTATTTTTTGAGTGCAATTTGATAAGAGGTCATGAACTAAGTATAACGCTATCTGAGTCAACTAATTAGTTATACTTAAGTCCTGACCTTTTTCTAGCAAATTCTCTACTGAGTCCTCATCAAGTAACTGATCCGAGTCGCTTGAATATTCCTTACCTACCGCAAACATTCCTTTATTTCATGACTAACTCAGTGCAAATCCGTGAAAATGTCACATTGCACTAGTTGCGTCATATTTAAATATCATGCTAAAATCGTTCAAAACTTGTCCGCCGCAGGATTCGAACCTGCGCCTACAAGAGTAGACTGCGACCTGAACGCAGCGCCTTAGACCACTCGGCCAGACGGACTCATGCTATAGAAGCATTTAATATAGTCCAAAATTTAAAAATATGTTAATTTTGTGAGACTGAAAGTAGTTACTAAATTAATTTTCAAACCAATGATGTATTAATATAAAAAGTAGAATAGAAAAACTGTAAAGTGAAGTAAAGAGACGGCCCATGCCCATGATATTGTATGTACCAAGTACACACATACTTTCATATGTTGTACTTGACAATCCACTCATGCAACGCTTGTGAGACGTGACAGACTTCACAAACGTATGCCGTGAGATATTGGATGTGCAAAAAAAGCACTGCTAGGGAATTTTTAAAATGTGTGCGTGTGAATGATTACAAAAAAGATAGAATTTAAAGATTTTAATCTTCTGAGTAGATAATGGACAACGGTTAGTTTCAGCTGGTTCAAATCCTTACTCTTAATGATGATTTGTTGCTTAATTATTCTGTACACATTCTTTTTAAATTCGACAGCAAAACCACAGAGACTTTCCGAATTGGATCTACTTAACAAACCACACAGTCTTGAGAGGATTATTAAAGCAGCAGTTCACATAGTCGTAAGAAATGCGACCACGCAAGTTGAGGTAACTTTTGTATTATTCATTCCGCGGATTTCGGAATTAACTTTGTTTTATCAGTTTAGGAGATCATGCATGTTGTGGTAAACTTTTCTGTACAAGTTTTAACAATTCAGTACTTATTTAGCATTTATCTATTCTCAGAAAAAAGGTAACTTTTCGATAGTATAATGTTATCTATTAACTTTAAAGTAACCCTGACATTAATATCCATTCATGGATAATTTTCATGACAATAAATGCATTTGCATTATAGTTTCTTCTTTTAATATTACAAAGCACAGGTAGGATGGAACAGAATATCTAACCTTTTTACTTTCAACTACGAAAAAAATTATTAACACAGCACCATCAAGCAGAATTAAAAACCTCTCAAGTCAGGTGAAATTTTTTCAAACTGGCATAAAAAATGAACTATTTTAAGGGGATAACTGTCTATTATTTGGAAGCAAATCCTTCAGTAAACAAAAAACCTGGCGTCGACCTTTTGTATCTTCATGGAGCTGCATTTTCGTCTCATGACTGGAATCGAGATGAACCTTCAATCATTCAGATGAGTGCCGCTTCCGGATACCGAAGTGTTGCTATTGACATACCTGGTATGAGTTTCCATATTCATCATTTATTCATTATTAAGATCTTTCCGCAGGAAACTACAAATTATTTTGTCAACCAAATGAAAATGAAAGTGAATAACTGGTCGTGATTTGTGACCAAAATTTTGATGTATGTGGAGAAATTTACTTTGCAATCAATTTTCCTCTTAATTTATTTAACCACTTACTTGTCTTGCCATGCAGTTTGATTGCTTTATATTTAGGCTTCAGCTATAGTCGTTCTAGAGGGCCATCGGTACGCGATTATGGCAAATTTTTAGCATCACTAGTAGAAGTTTTGAGTATTCATAAACCAGTTATCATCAGTGCTTCGGCTAGTGGAAGTTATTCTGTACCATATGTGTTCCAAAATCAAGATAAAATAACTGGTTTTGTTCCCGTCGGAATATGCTGCACGCAGAATAAAAATTGGGAGACTTTCTCGGTGAGTTTTTTCCAATACCATATTGACTACTACGTGATATCATATTTTATACTTGTATCAAATTTCATACCTCTACTGTTTTTTATAAAAAAACATGTAATTATTTTTCTTCAACTTCAATAATATCTTTTGAAAATATGTCAACATTAACCATACTTTTTTGCACATTCATTGATTGTTTTACTGATTGAAAATCTTATACTAACTGATGGCAAAGTATTGACTACAATCAACAGTTGTTTCAGGTGCCAACGTTAATAATATATGGTAGTCAAGATCGGGCATCAATTTCAAGAAAACTTCTCAATATTCCGAATAAAAATTTAGTTATTATCGCGGATGCTCCACATGCTGCTTATATCAGAAAGCCATTAGATTTCATGACAGCTTTGATTAACTTTATGAATTATATTCATCCAAAACATGACAGTAATTTATTAAATACAATATTTACGGCCAAAATATATGCATAATGCTACTGAGATAATTCGTAAAATGTTTGAAATTAACTTCTTGAAGCTGCATCTGAAACTGTGAAATATTGACAAAATTGGAGGTCAAACATTTTCATTTCTTCCTATTCTTTGCTGCATCTTTGCCAAAATAATACCCAATATGAATGTTGCTAAGTGAGTTAAGACTGGATTGGTAATGAAGGAGACTGAAATTATATATGCTTCTTTGTAATATAAAAATAGTGAAACTGAGTGCCGAAAAATCAAATTTCATTACTCAATTCTGTAAACTTGCATTCACGCACTGATGCGAAATTAAAGCAATATGACAATTTTTATACTGTATGTAGAGAGCAACAGAACTATTCAAAGTTTATTTCAAAAGAACCTCTGTTTTGACCTTCGGTATTGAGATCATCTGAACACTTACGATCAAATGATAAGCATTTTACGATTTTCCATCTTATTCCACTTTTATTTCTCCATTCGGATAAATTATCTCCTTAGAAATAAGCACAAATACTTACCGTACAAATTGAAACATATTAGCAATACTTTATTGCTACTTCAATTGTTCATACGGTACAAACTTATTTTGAATTACTACTGAATAATCATGTTAACATATTGATGACAGTTCTAATGAAACTGCTTGACATTAATTACTGTAATAATTTTCCCTAAATTGCACATTGGCTATATTATTTCACTTTTCAATAAAACTTATTTTTATTTTACCTCTTCAAAAAAAACTAAATGCTTTTGGTAACAGATTTTGAATTACTTACCGAATTTACAGGATGGAATAGAACAAGGTTCTACAAACTTTTGAATATCATCATCATATGATTTTATAAAACCTTTTCTAATACGCCAGCGACTTCGCAAGCTGTTACCACATGTTGCGCTACACTCCGTCCATTCACTCCACGTCAACCATTCACGTATTAACATACGTTTTGAATCAAGAAGCACTGCCTAAATATGATCACCATGACTAATTACAACTTCTTTACCAGATGAAAAATTTTATTTTTGCAAAGTACATAATTTTTTGATAAAATTCATCATTTTTCCATTCTGAAAATCACTATTTCTATTGCAAAAAGTTTGTATTAAGAAGTAGTAATCAATTTGACTGATGTTTGGCTTTTTTTGTAAAATAAGAATGCGATCGTCTTATTTGAAATAGTTACTTTATATATATTATAATTATTACTACTTATCGATAAATAATAATAAAAAAATTTTAGTACTCTAAAATTCAACATATATGAATTAGAATTACATATACAAAATATATTAATCTATGAAAACGATCGTTTTCAAATGCAATAAATTTTGGGTAGTATCTGAATGCAACGAAAGTTATCAATTTTTTGGATGCACCAACAACTTCCAGCAACCATTTTTAAGATAATATTGCTTAATATGAATAAATAATAAATAAAATAATATATTGAATGAAATTTCGAATAATTCCATTGAAAAAACTTTTTGTGCGACCTCATGTAATATTCAATAATAATTAAACAAAGTATCTCCATATTTTAAGCTCATGTTTGAAATTATTTAAATTACTTTAATAGAAACTGCATCAGGTATTGCGATGCCGCACCTTGCACGATATCGAATTTCTGTATTTTCACTTGATGCCAGCCACTGGCTCCAAACACTGTAATGCCGTACTTCTAAAAAAAATACTAAATATGTTCAAATATATATATATCTATAACATGCATGTTCATATGTAAAAGTGGACTCGAGACAGATCAACGATAATAGATCTGTTTCAAGTTGCACATATGGATGGACAGCGAAGTAAAGTGACCCTCTTTAAGCTTTTAATAATACTATTAAACTTAGTCCTCTGAAGATTCTCACCGCCACAAGGTTCATTATAACAAAGTCGATATTGCTGGTGTTGCTGAATAGAAGCTAAGAAATTACAACTTTCAGCGTTGAAACAACGCCATTCTCGACTTTGATAGCCTTCGGCACACCTTTGCGAACATCTACTCCATTCTGTCCATTCAAATCTAAATTACGAGAAGTAAAATTGTACGCTAAAAAAACATATGCCCTATGTTTTTTAATGAAATAGAAGCATTCATCACTGCTTCATCTCTTCATTGTAATTTAAACTGCATTTTGTACAGAGAGATTTATGTGAGCAATACATCCGAAAACTTTAAGCATATATTGAAGTTTGGAACTTCTATCCAGTTGCTCGTTTTTTCCTTATGTTTTTTAAAGAATTCAGAATAAAATATAAAAAAATAACAATACGATTGCTCAAACTTGCTTGTCATGAAGCATATCAATCAATAAACTGATTCTTGCATAGAAAATGAATTCTAAAAATTCAGACAAAATCATGATTTTATTTAATAAGTAGCGAGTCACACTCACGTTTTGTTTGAACTAAACTTTTCGTCGTTGATCTCCAATAAATTGGTAAGTGGATAATTTGTGAAGGAATTGGATGAGAGCACAGTAAATGTCTGCAGTGAAGAGATTTTTAGACAAAATAAAATCTTTGAGATTCTTCAGAATCCGAAGGACAAGATTATTTCATACAAGTAATTATATTGAAATTAAGGTTATTAGTGAAACTCAATGTAATGATGCATTATTCCAATATTTGGAATATTAAGAATTTCGGGATTTGAATTAAAAAAACAAAAGAATAATTCCAAGACTATAAGTTCAAATACCTTCTTCCTAATTTTCAGTTCTGAAATTGTTCCATCAATAGTAATTTGATCGTCTCGCATTTTGATAATGAAAGTACCGTTAAAGATGAGAGTGTATATTTTGCCTTGTTTTGATATTGCTATAATTTGATAATTTCCATGCTCGATATCAGTAACATCCAATGATACTATTCTGCAGCATTACTGTACTAAGTTTAGAAGATGAAACAAATAAGTAAGAAGAAATGATTTCACTCATTAACTTGAGACTTCGTTCGTGATGATCTGCTTTCTTTCATGAATAAACCTTTTGAGTTTGATGAACATTTTCTTTTTTACTACTTAATATGACTGATTCTACGCATGCATCGAATTTTACAGAATTAAGAATTAAAACAAAAGAAATCTTTAAATCAAAACAGTTGGCTGTGAATTTGATCACCATTCGCAGGTATATCAATTATACTCTGATCAAAAGCTGAGAATAAGCAGAATTATGAGAATTTTTGAAATTTTCATTCTGAGAATAGTTTTAAATATTACAGATATGATATGAAGAGAAAAACTAAACGTTACAAACATTACCATTAAAAAAATCAAGCATTATCTGAAAACTGATTACCCTGAAATTTCCGGGAATAAGTAGCATACTTGTGGTTTGGCAAATGTTGCGCTTTTGTCAAAGATCTTGGGATAACCCGTTGAATGACGTTTTGGGCACTGGTTATCATGCTGAATAACGTAACTTTCTGAATCGCTGAATAATTCTTTTTCAATTGTATTAAGATCAAATATGCATAGAACCGAAATTGGCAGCGGTTCAAAAGCATTCCAAAAAATAGTGAACATGTAGTTCGCAAATTTCCGAGCAGTTTTTAACTTCTTTAAATACAAGTTAGCATCATCTGGAGAGCATGTAAGTGATAGTTTGCCAAAAAAGTTGAAAGTATTTCTATACATAGCAATATTGTCAGCAAATCCTTTATCATTCGCACAAATGACACCAACTCGACTCTAAAACCAATTTATGAAAAAAATTAGCAAATTTATAGCAAATCGTGCTTAAATCTATTAATAAAGTAACTAGCAAGCAATTTATTAATATGTTTCTAATTTAAATGCAACAATTTTGTAAAATGTGTCTAAATAGTATATTTTCCCTAGTTATTTTAGTCATGCTCAAAATTAAGCTTAAAATATTTATTCATGCTTGACATGAAAACCAAAAAATTAAAACAGTCAACTGTAAACTTTTTAGTGAGCAGTCACTTATAATTTGCAACAATTAATTTCCGAATATTATAAGATCGTAATTACCTCAATTTGATCAAATTTTTTTTCATTAAAGAGCACATATACATATTGTTTCCAGCCAAATAAGGCGATGAATTCTGGTTCTGAAAATAATAGATAAATAAATTCAGAATAAATTTAACAAATTGTTCGTATAGCATATCCCTCGTATATAATTAAATTTACATTTTAAGCTCAAAAAATTATGTAAAGTTACAACTCAACTTTTCTTTCTTTGACTTAGTTCAAATTTATTCCAAGAAATTAATAAACACTTTCTAAGTAAATCACAAAAACAAAATAACTGGATGTATGTTATGAAAAAGTTACTCCTACTCATTCAGTGATCTTTTTTTACTCATAAATTTCTCCTAATAATAATTATTATCATCATGAATATTGGAACTAACTACTGATACTGATCATTCCATATCATTACTCTCAGCATAATGCAGTAACATTGATTTTGGCATTAGACTTATTACTAAAATATTTAATAAAAAAATGCGAAGATCAAGGGATCACCTCGAAACCATCGGTCATCATTAACGGGTAACCAAAGTCTGCTTTCAAGTGGAAGAGCTCGAATCAATGTATGTTTCTGGCATGAAATATCGACAGATAATGCCGTAAAAGTATAATTTGCATATGATTCGTAGAAAGCTGGGCAGTCTTTATCAAACGAACTGAGACCAATGGCATCTGCTCTTCCCTCACAGTCTTTCAATAAATTTACTTTCTGAAACAAATTATATGTAGCACACTAAAGTAATCGAAAAAAAAAGTATACATCAATTAATCAAAAACCAATTAATATGCTGTAATTAAATGTAACAACCAAGGTAATAAATGAAGTTCATTTACTCTGAGCAAGTTTGCAATCTTTATTTTGTTTTTAATTCAATAAGTAATCAACAAAAAGCTGACCTTCCGTGTCCAACAACGCGGCAACATAGCATTGGTACCACAAATTCGTAAGCAATCACTTTCGTATGGTAGCAGAAGTGTGATATAATTTTGACATTTTTCCTAAAAATGCCATCAAAGATACTTTGTTACAAAAATTTTCATAATAAATAAAAATCAGATAAAAGGAATTTATGTATATTACTGATTTCTCGATTAAAAAGTCAGATTATTTATCAACTATCAATTATGAAGCGAATATTCAACAAATTAAAATTATACAATTGCAGCGTTTTGTAAGCAATGATTCTTAAAACTAAGCTAATATTTTGAAAAATTGAATATGCAAAGTTGCAAACAGAGTAAAAGAACTGTAACTGTTTATTTAACAGTTCAAAATCAGCACTGAAAATGATTTTAGAGTATAAATTAGGTCACATTTAGAAGACAGTATTACAAACTAAAATGAAAATGAAAAAGCAAACTTTTGCAAATCCTTTCATCAAGCATTCTGAGATTGCATCCCTTGTAGCATTCAACTGAATTTCTTTTTTCAAACGGAATGATTCAATAGAAATTACAGTTACTCGATTTCTACAATGAATTATTAAATTTTTAAGAAACAGTTACAGATCTTTATATTGTACCCTAATCAGGATAGCTCTGAAGTCTGACATAGATATAATTTTAATTCTCATGATCACTTCCAGGAAAGTGCATTAAAATTAATCTAAAATCTCAATGACATTACTAAACATTGAACAATTATGTAAATAATCTTACTTTGATCCAAGAAAAAACGTGTTCGTATCTTCGAATGCAGATAACAGATCGCTTGCTGAATATTTAGCGAGAAAACTTAATTTTTCGTACTGACAATATTTAGGTAAAATTAAATAAAGTAGAAAACAAGTAATAGATGACAACATATGGCATAGGGAATGAATTTGGAATCATATTAGGATGTGATATTAAGTTTTAACATGAAACCACCTGTCGCTTTTTACGAGAGAGTTTGATCATGTTTTTGCAGCCATTTCATTCTTAGAATTGAAACATTATGATTACATATTATATTTACATTAACTCATACACAGCAAATGTGAAAAAATTATTCTAATTCAGAAGATTAAATCACAAATTAACATCTTGTATAATTGCTGAATTCAACAATTTCTTCACAGAAAATTTTAGAAGAATCTACTAAACAGCTAATTAAGTCCCGACAAGAATCTCCGACACATTTTTATCCTCTTATTCAAATGAAAAATATTTTATCTATAACATAAATAACAGACTTAATGAATATTCATATGCGCGGAAAATTTTTGATCGTATCAAATTATGCCAATCAATGCGTAATTAGCCGCAAAATGACTACAAGATATTATTGAAGTCAACCAAATTTTAAGCTAATAATGTGCCAAAACATTGCAAAAACTTTCAATCAGAAGTTCGAACAAAAGAAAAAGATTTTAATTAAAAAATACTTTGAGAGAGAACAATCTATTTTATTCATAAAATAAGTAATTGAAGATGTCTCTTGCTAAGGAGCAAAATTAAATAAATATGCCATAATCAGCATTTTTGGCAAAACAATGAATGATTGCATATGAATTATTACAAAGTAGATAACATAAAGTAACACTGATCAGTTACTTTTAATAAACAAAACTGCTCAATCTTGACACAATAATCAAATTCAAAACATAAATTTACAGGTATATCCTCAGATTAATCACCACTTTATTCTGTGAAATAATTTACGTGACCTAAGCACGATTGCTGAAATATTTGCTGAAGAAAATTTTCACAGAAATTCAATATATGAACGAGAGATATAGACAAAGAGGCTGCTTCAGGCGAATATTTTTTCATATCAATTTAAGCCTATTAAAAAAAAACCTTTCCCTCTCAATTTTACTGATACTGATTTAATAACTTCCCTCTAATATTTTGACCTTTTCATTTTCATATTTTATGGTTTTTCAGTTCCGAAAAAAATTGCATTGGATTCTCTTCAAGGTATTTTGGTTATTCATACCAACAAATAGCGATATTCATCGTTTATCAGTTTCGCTGCTAAGTAGTACTGCTATTTATGCAAATCATATTTTAATTAACCTGACTTCCATC